AGGGTGCGGAGGGGGAGTGTTCACTTTCACGCTCGCCGCCACGATGGAGATTTTGCAATTATCTACACTAAAATAGGGAGCGACCTTGAGGTGAAATTCTTGCAAATTAAAAAAAAAAAAATTTTTTGGCTTTGGGTGCGCGGGGCGTGCGAAATTGGTTTATCCCACGAAGAGTTTCCGGACCCAGGCAATCAGCGACACTCAATTTCACATCGACTTCCTCGCATAAGAACAATGTAAATTTTTACACCAACCCTAACCCTAAGACGTTAACCAACCCCCTACCCTAACACTAACTATAAATCAACCAGGTCGGTCTATATAGACACATATATTGAAAACATCATCTAGTGGTCGGTGTCCGGAACTTGCTGCGTGGGAAAAAAATTTCGCCGGCCGGCCGGGGTTCGTTCGAACCCCCCGAAACCCCCCTGCTACGGCCTTACTAGATATAATAGTATACTAGATCATACGTATATATTATAGATACAGTAATAATATTAGGTGTAAGCGTTATAAATTTAATATACTAATATACTAATATACTATAATTACTAATATACTTACTACATATATTACTAATATATTACTGAATATATTACTAATTATTAAGTAATAAGCGGCAACAGCTGCGCGCGCGGGAGAGCAAGGCAGCCGGTAATCCACATGGTAGGAACTATCGGCAATAATAGGTGAAAGAAGAGTAGGCTATAGAAACATTAAGAATTTTGTCAGTAATCGATTTGATTTTAGTTAGCATATATAATTTATTGAAACGATTCAATACTGCCTAGTGCTGAAACAGTGTCTTCTGACCTCCATAAAGCCAGATTGGTTTTCTAAGTGCTAAGTTTTTATAATTGAAATTTAACAGTATAATAAACTGTGAAAGTGAGTTGTGACCAATGGACTATTAAGAATTGGAATGTTTCTGAACAAATTTAAGAAAAGGGATGTGTGATGCTTGTGTAGTATAAACCTCGCGTATACACGTATAGCCTGAAGTGGAATGTAGGCGCGGCGTAGTCAATATCAACCTCGGCAGATACACAGAAGGCTTGTAAGTGCTTCCAGGAGTTGCGAGAACTAAAAGTGTTCTTGAAAACAAGTGAGTTCTGTCCTCCCCGCTCGTAACATACTGGTCCTGACGTCGGACTTCCCGTATAACACGTACCATCACAAGACTCGTCATCATCGTTAGCCAGTGCATTTCCTCTCTGTAAAGTCACACACAACTGAGCAGGCGAACCCCCGCTCGGTCGCTTGGCTCCCTCGCCTGGTCGCTTCGCGCCCGAGCAGGGGCGTGTACAGGGGGGGTCCAGGGAATCCGGACCCCACCTTGCTCGTGCAGAAAACGCATCTGAGGGGGTGTAATTTTAAAAATTTTTCTGGGGGAGGGCCCCCCAGACCCCCCCTTCGCGTGCTCGCAACTTCGGGTTACGGTTAGACACCCACTGGTACAAATCCTGTACACGCCCCTGCCGAGCAAATTGCCAACATTGAAAAACGAACCCCCCCCCCCAATACAAAGCTGGCTACGGGCCTGCTAGTATACTGTACTAATATACTAGTATACTAGTATACTAGTATACTGTACTAATATATTAGTAACTCTATATATTAGTGTAAGCGTGCAACAGTCGCGCCGCGAGAGCAATGGCAGCCGGTAATGCAATGGTAGGAAACTATCGGCAATAATAGGTGAAAGAGAGTAGGCCTATAGAAACATTAAGAAGTTTGTAGTAAATAGATTTCGTATTTAGTTAGCATTATATTTTATTGAAACGCTTCAAGTGCCTGTGGTTTAGAGTTTCACTTCTCCATCCTGCACAGCATCTTTCCGAACACAACATTAAAATTGCACTTTTAAACCTGTTACTTTCCTGGCTTTAAACAATGAGAATAACAAGCTACTAAAAATGAAAACACTAGAAACAACTTCTCTCTATCGGTCCCTTCTTTAGTAAAGTCACTAAGCTGTATCTAGCATGAAATACCTTCACTCGTGCTGTTATTCACAGTCCTACACTACCTATGTCACATAATCTTTCAGATGTACCGGCTTTTTGATATCGCGCCTCGATCTCGAAGACATGTTCCCGGACTTTTGCGAGTTACAGTCCATATCGCGCACTTTTGAACTATTATCTCGATCACGCACTTCCACATCACAGTCCCATTTTGCGTTCGCGTCTATTCACTCCCGGGCTGCACGGTATGATCACTCCTGGGCTGCACGGTACTTTTGGGCTGCACGGTACAGAAACTTTCTCTGGGATGAGACCACCACGGTGTATTGTAGGCTTAACTGTCTCAGTCTTTGGCGTCAGACCAGACAGCGGATCATCCCCTTCTGGGGACAGATTGCGAATTCTTGGGGAACACATTGTCGGCCTCATGTGTACACGATTGCGACGGTACACTCCTCCGTCAAGTAGTACTAGTAGTACTCGTACTACATTCGTACACGATTTTCTTTACAGATGATGATGAATGCATTGCTTCTGCACCATGTGATGCTAATGCTGCGTGTGTCAACGCTCCTCCTGGAAGTTTCACATGTATATGCAACACTGGATACATTGGAAATGGATTGACTTGTGCTGGTATGCACTTACATATATCACAGTCTCACTTCCTTGCTAATCGTTACAAACTTAGATAATGAAGATATTGATTATTAAATGCTTTTTTCGATTTTCTTTACGGACAATAATGAATGCAGTGCTTTATACAGATATATAGATAGATAGGTTTCCAAAAACTATCGTAATAGCCCGAGGTTGCTTTGACTCGAATGGATTGGCCTCTTCTTCGTGTCGGCTTTCTCCATGCTAAACTTATAATCTTTCATGAATTTTATCATGGTCAGGTAAAGATTGGCATTCCCATTTGTCTAAATAATCCTGTTCGTAGCACTCGATCATCTTAGCGTGATATTCTGCAAAGGTTCCCTTTAGGTTCAGCTTCTTCGTTTCTGTCATTCCCTATTAGAATTCGTTTCCTTCCTATTTGGTTAACTGAAATTTGAAGCTTTTTCTCCGGCTCTCGCAGTGTTGGTCTATCTATTTAACCACGCTTGGACGTTGAAGACTAATCTTTATGAGCTTATGAGGTCATCCTACGCATTGCATCGCGTCCCGTGTTTCAAAAACGTAATCACGGGCTTTAACGTCGTGTGCCGATTAGTGAGATAATACGTTGTCTGCAAGAGCGTTCGTTGACTGCTCTACCGGTTATGGATGCTCGCTCATCCTACTGATGATCATGGTAACGATGCATAAACCCGTCTTAACTAGCCTAGGGTAGTGAGTTTGGTCGTCTCTATGGTATGCTGGAGAGACTTACACGGTGAATGATTAACCAGAATCCCACACAGCCGGTCACGAGTAGCTTGCTACTGCTGGACAGCGCTCATTCTCAAGAAAACTTGGGTTGGTAATAGTCACGAATTAACAGCAGAGCTGGTCGATCTACAAGGTAAGCCAGAGTACAAGTCACACATCTAATAAAATTCTTAAACCGCGCAGACGGTTTCTATTAAGTGTAATTATGAAACGGCAACGATAAGTTTTTTTTTATCTAGTTACGTCGAATCTTAGTTCACTTGTTTATCTACGACTTTCATATATATGATTACAGGTTGCATCGAACTTCATACACGGAACGAATTATCGAGGCAATATAAATATATTCCACCAAACAAAATGTTCACGTGTACAATACTTCTGGTAGGCATTCATATTTATATCGGCGCGATAAATTCTCGCTGCAAACTCATCGTAAAGATGGTTCAATAAAGAAATAATTACGATGTTGGGAGCAGCTAGGACTAGGTAGCGCATGATATATAAGAAAGGCGGTGGGAAACGTCTAATTACACTCTGAGTGGTGGCAGCAGCGTACATTGCTAGATTTCAGTACATCGCAATGCGGTCATGTCATATATGAAATTAAGCGAGTGTACGGTATAAACAAGTTTCAAATTTATAACGCACATTCATTGGAATCCTCTTAGTACCGAAGTAGTGTGTGTGTGTGTGTGTGTGTGTGTGTGTGTGTGTGTGTGTGTGTGTGTGTGTGGTGTGTGTGGAGTGTGTGTGTGTGTTGTGCGTGTGTGTGTGTGAGTGGTGTGTTAGTGTATGTGTACTGTGTGGTAGGTGTATGTGTGTGTGTGTGTGTGTGTGTGTTGTGTGTGTGTGTGTGTGTATGCGTGCGTGCGTGCGTGCGTGCGTGCGTGTGTGCGTGCGTATGTGCGTATGTGTGTGTGTAGGGGGGTTGTGTGCGCGTACGTGCGTGCGTGTGTATGTGTGTATGTGTGTGGTGGGGGGGGGCGTGCGTGCGTGCGTGTGTGTGTTATCTAAATCCTACCAATCACGCTACTGTCACGGCGTAGAGATTGAGCGAACTGTATCTTACTTGTAAACATATCAAGAGTCCATAATAGAACATTCTTATTATGGACTCTTGCGAAGTCTTGGCACATATCGAATTATGATTCCTCTTCTCTTCTGACTTTTTTTTTCAGGTGACGACACTTGTTCTGCTCGCTCTCATTGTACCAGTGCGGTCAGTGGACGCCACCACGAGATCGCCGGGAATCAAGAGAAGAATCTTAGACCACGCGTGCGACGGGGCGTGCAACTTCATAGCAAGCCACTGTAATTACTGTGGGAAGGATAGCATTGACGTCGTTGATGACGGGATGACGGGAGGCATAGTGGAACATGTTGGAGCGGTCGCCTGCTCAGTTGTGTGTGACTTTACAGAGAGGAAATGTCACTGCTACGATGATGACGAGTCTTGTGATGGTACGTGTTAATACGTGGATCCCGAGCGTAGGACCAGTATTTACGAGCGGGGAGGACAGAAACTCACTTGTTTTCAAGAACACTTTTATTCTCCAACTCCTGAAGTCACTTACCAAGGCTTCTGGGTACTCGCGAGTGATATTACTACGCGCGCCTAATTCCACTTAGCTATACGTGTATACGCGAGGGTTTATACTACACGCATCAACATCCCCTTTTCTTTAAAGTTTTTCAGAAACAGTTCCAATGTCTTATAGTCATTGTCACAACACACTTTCAGTTATATACTGTTAATATTTCAATTATAAAAACTTAGCACTTAGAAAATCCAATCTTGCTTTTATGAGGTCAGAAACACTGTTTAGAGCACAGGCACGTAATTGAAGCGTTTCAATAAAATATAATGCTAACTAAATCCGAAATCGATTTACTACAAAATTCTTAATGTTTCTATAGGCCTACTCTCTTTCACCTATTATTGCCGATAGTTTCCTACCATTGCATTACCGGCTGCCATTGCTCTCGCGGCGCGACTGTTGCACGCTTATACTAATATATTAGTAATATATTAGTAATATATTAGTAATATATTAGTAATATATTAGTAATATATTAGTAATATATTAGTATATTAGTATATTATTTATAACGCTTACACTAATATATTAGTGTATCTATAATAATATACTAGTATACTAGTATACTAGTATACTAGTACAGGCCCGTAGCCAGGGGGGGTTCGGGGGGTTCGAACGAACCCCCGCCTATCCTGAGTGTACGAAGGGGCACTGCATGCATCTTTCTTCATTCTATATTACAATTCAATATCTATGGTTCAATTTCAAGTAGGGTACAAGTCAATCCACCTCCTGTGTAGCCAATGTTGCATTCACATGTGAAACTCCCAGGAGTGTCGACACACTCAGCATTAGCATCACATGGTGCAAAAGCACTGCATTCATTTTCGTCTGTAAAAAAAAATCAAAAAAAGTATTTCATAATCAATAGCTTCATTAACTAAGTTTGTAGTAATTAGCAAGGAAGTGAGACTGTGGTATAGGTAAGTGCATACCAGAACAAGTCAATCCATCTCCAATGTATCCAGTGTTGCATATACATGTGAAACTTCCAGGAGTGTTATCACACAGAGCATTATCATCACATGGTGCAAAAGCACTGCATTCATTTTCGTCTGTAAAAAAAATCAAAAAAAGTATTTCATAATCAATAGCTTCATTAACTAAGTTTGTAGTAATTAGCAAGGAAGTGAGACTGTGGTATAGGTAAGTGCATACCAGCACAAGTCAATCCATCTCCAATGTATCCAGGGATGCATGTACATGTAAAACTTCCAGGAGTGTTGGTACACGCAGCATTATCATCACATGGTCCAGGAGTAGCACTGCATTCATTATTGTCTGTAAAGAAAATCGAAAAAAGTATTTCATAATCAATATCTTCATTAACTAAGTTTGTAATGATAAGCAAGGAAGTGAGACTGTGATATAGGTAAGTGCATACCAGCACAAGTCAATCCATTTCCAATGTATCCAGGGGTGCATACACATGTGAAACTTCCAGGAGTGTTGGTACACGCAGCATTAGCATAGCATCTACATGGCCAGGTAGCACTGCATTCTTATTGTCTGTGTAGCGTTTAGGTGTCTCTCTGCGCCACTGTCGTCGGCTTGGTGGGTCGTCTCATCGTCGGTGTCGATTGTCACATAGTCGACAGCAATAACCTTTCAGTTAAGAAACTACTCACCTTAGTCTATGTCCCGGTATGCGTTGAAATGGTCCGTTGTATCGTTCGTCCTACCTCTGTTTTTTGTTTGTGTTTTTTTTTTTTCTTTTTTCGGTACTCAGCTAGCTACTTCAGATGCGTCTCTACTATGCTTACTGGCGCTCACGGTCCTTTTAGAAACCCTTTTTCACTCGGCGGTTCGTTCGTGTTCCGGTTGCGTATAGCGTTGGTTAGTCTCGACTATAATGGCCACACCCACTAAATCTGTGATCATATCTGTGCACCCCACCCGCGCTCGCTGGCCTTAGTTATTCGTGCTGTATAATAATTGTTCAAACCCGGTGTATTAATATCTATATTAGGCTATACAGATTTTTTTATTTATTTGGCGTATTTCCTAGATCTCTATATGCTAAATTATCGGCATGTGTGTTTCTTTCTACTGCACGGCTGCTCACAGCAATTATGAAGCATTAGGCAGTTTCTTATCCTGCACTGTGATAGGCGTCTGGCACTCTCCTTCCTCTACTTATTAGGAGTCATTTAACTCTATCTCATTGTTTTATTACTCGCCCACAGAACAAATTCAACAGGTAAGATACTAATGCCTACTCACCAATCCGTACTCTTAATCGTGTGGTCGTCATGTTCTCTTATCTTGGAATCCCTGCTGTGTGGTCCACTGTCGCACAGCCACTTGAACACTTTGGTGATCGTGATGTTATCTGTACGGTAGTAACGTAGGCTTAGCTGTTTCGTCACCTTTATACTCCCAGTCTTACTGTCATCACTTCTCAGCCGCCTCTCCGATCTGTCTATATTGCTCATTACAGAGTGGCTATCTATGCGGGGTCCTATCCTTCACTCGGACTCCCTGCCATGAACTCTGGTTTACGTCACTAGAACGTGGGCCCTGAATTACTATAACTCGTATGTGCTACTCTCTATATAACGCCCACTAAAACTCTTATTGCTGACTTCAAGCCACTCCTGGGACATTTACTAGAATGCCGTGTCGTTCGCCGCTCCCACACCGAGTCCTACTGTTTTATTTTCCTCCTGTCTTGGCAATGGTATGGAAATATCATTCGTCACTAGAGGTGGGGTTGGCTAACTCATTCATTGGCTCTATATTTGGCTGCCCCATGTATAGTCTTCGACTATTTTTTTCTACACACTAACAATTTGGTGAGGCTATCAAACCTGTTTATCGTTATTATATTATCGCTCATCATTCTAAATTTGATCACCTTGGACTCTTCACAATATTATATTTATATTGCCTAACACTCAATACATTATTATGTGTAATATTTAAACACACCTTTCTCTGCCTGTTGTGGTTCTCTAGTTGAGTTCTACGTCATCATTATTATCTCTTATGGCTTGTGTAATCCGTGTGGTGATTCCTGCTTTGCTACATTTGCTTTTCTCTTCTCTCAAGATCGACCCGTCAGTCGATCACAAACAACATGCCTGGCGGTGCACCGGCACATGGCGTAGAGGAGGCCGCAGTGCAATCTATCTCGGTGCTGCTTGTCCAGTGCCTTCCGTCGCTTTCCTGCGCCCAGCTTTCTTTTCTGGTGTAGCTGGCCGACGAGGTTGGCTCTTTTCGCCCTCTCTTCTGTCGCTGCGTCCTGTCGGGGCCTCTCTTCTGTCACTGCTGCCGGACTCGTCTCGGCACCGCTCAGGACAGGCGAGAGTTGCCGTCTTCCGGCTAGCCCTTCCGTGGTACTGAAGGTCGGCTGCTGCAACATCATCCCCAGGAACTGCGCGTTGAACTCGTGGTGGTGAATGTTCGGAATGGGTCGCTCAGGGGGTGGGCCGCCGGCAGTGCGCGCATCGTCGCCAGCAGCTGAGATGGCACTTCTGACATGCTCGGGCACTTCTAGCAGTGTCTCCACTCTCCATCCGGCACGGAGCTCGGCATGCGAGGTCGGCGGCGGGCGTCATCTCCATTGCGGATCTCATACGGCCGGGCGCGGGCCGCCTTGGCCTCCACCCTAGATGGGCGGATGAACATGTCCACACAGAACATACTGATCGTTCGGTACACTAGGAAAAACAAAGGTGTGACACACTCGTACAG